CATCATGGACTTTCAAACGCTCCGAACAATTTTGACCCTTGACGTCTTCAATGACAGAATCCTGAGTCATTTTTATGTTTTATCGTCTTGAGCACATACGTCTTAAGGTAATATCTTTCAAGAAATTGGCACTGTTCGACTATGTCTTTCTTTTATTTAGTAGCAACATAAGTTGAGAAATTAACGCAAAATCAACCTTACTTTGTTGTCTCTCATCTTTGCATACTGCGAGTTACTTTGATCCATCGACCAGACAGTGATACATGCTCTCCCACCTGGTTTAAGTACCTATAAAAGAAATGATTGCTCATTACAGTTTTACAGAAATGATTGCTCATTACAAAAGTTGCACCAAAATTATATTTAGAAATTTAATAAGTCAGAAATGAACAGCTTATTCCTATCTTTTTCATAGTAGGTAAGAACTAACCCTAAGAATTTCACCAATCATTTTCTGCCGTCGCTCCAATGTAGCCATATGGTGTAAGACAGCAATGGATAAAACGGCATCTGCACCTTCTCGGAATGGTAAGGATAATGCATCTGCACGAACAACCATACGGCCCTATAATTTTTATGGATGTAAGCAATTCTCGAGTGAGAACTCTATAAAAAAAAGAAAATCTTCTATACTTTTACTTACTTTGCTATAGACAATATTGCATAACATCTGACTCATGTCGCATCCAATCTGAAAAGGGATGTAGTGACACGCACAAAAGGAAGTCTTATAGAATGGAATTTAAGAAATATGTGCTGTAAGAATGAACTTGTGATTAGATATTGAACTTAATTTATAGGAAAAAAAATTTCCAATAACAGTTCATAAGATATTTAAGAACGTCGTCCTTCATTTGAAAAATATTCAAAGTCGCATTTACCTTAATTAGGTCATCATTGGGAAGCAGATACTTTCCATTACCGCAGCCAATATCATACACTACAGAATAGTGTGCTATAGACTTCATGAATCTACAATATATCATTGATATAGAAGCTATAAGTCATATTTACAGAAAAAAAAAGAAGAGGAAATCACTTCTTGACACCAGACCATCCTGACACCCTCGTTTCATCAAAATGAGAAGCAATGCTTTCATAAACGTCGTTTACATACTGATTCTCAATTCGCAAAGCCGACTTGTTATCGGATGGAACAGACATTTCTCCTAAAGCTTTTCATCTCATAAGCCGCAAGAGAGATTTTAAGGCTAGACTGTAACCGATTGTTAATACCTTCTCTATCCCAATCACAAAATTCTTTGTACTGGCACTGACACGGCGCATGTCGAATTTTCCGCAGTGTTACGGAGACCCGAAGACGGCGAGGTACCACACGGTGTGTCAGTGGATGGATGTCATGCTTTCGATTTACAATCCTAAAGCTCTTAAATAAACAACACATCTGACACCTTTGCTTGACCATGCTCAAAAGTATTTTCTATTTCCGAATGTGCAAAAGTCACTCAACAAAAATGCTGTTATCTAAAAAATGTGATAGTACAATTTCGTAACTACAAAACACCGTTCGTACCCATGTTTCCAGCGATATCTTGCTTCACCTTGCAGCAGACACAATGAGCGCCTCTTCAAA